CTGTTTCTCTCTGAGCTCAGGAATTCCCAGTTGCTTCAGGAATCATGTCCCATAGATCACACATCTCAGTATAAAACTCTCTGAATGCTCCAAATTGGCAGTTTCTGTCGCTGGGGAAATGCCACCACATCTCTCTCTCTTCTCAGCAGGTACGTGCAATTGTCCTGAATTACAGTCACACACACACACACTCAGACACCTTGGGGATCAGCAGGTATTGAATTCAAGACCTCCAGCACTAAAAGCCTCAGCCCCAACTCCTACCCCTTCATCTAACGGAGTGACTTCCTGGGTTGGAAAAAATAGGCAATTACCTAGTCACTGAAGCCAGTACTTTCCACTATGTCTCTGGGTTTTCATACAGGCTACAGTAAATGCCAAAAAGCTTAATTAGCACAGTAAGGAAGTGTTACCCCAAACCGACAGGCCAAGCCACAGAGCTTACCCTGCCCAAAGAGGGTAGAAAGATTGACACTCCTTTGGTCTCACCCCTTCTCTAGCTAACAAATAATCTCTTCAGAGTGAGATGATTTTCACCCTGATACTCATACAGCAGAGACAGAACTCACATCTTGCTGCTCGGATTAGTAAACAGGAGTGTTAGTGTGTGGGGAATGATTAACCTGTGTGTCATTGTATTTATGCAGTTTGTATTTTATTGAACAACTGGAATGAGCAGCTGTGAATATCTGGCTCTGTGGATTAAGCCCTTCCCTGAGCGGGTACCCATGTCCATTAAGAAACTGATCTCCATTTATCATCACTTACTTCACTACAGAGAAGAGACAGGTTTTCTGCACCATCCACCTGCCCACATCTCTGTAGCTGTCTGAGCTCTGTTCAGAGGAGATGGAAAAGGGAAATCACTCAGAGGCGACTGAGTTCATTCTCTCAGGACTGACAGATTGTCCGGAGCTGAAGGTTCCCCTGTTTGTGGTGTTCCTACTGATTTATGGAATCACCCTGGTGGGGAATGGGGGGATGATCTTGTTAATCATGATTGATCCCCGACTCCACACCCCCATGTACTTTTTCCTCAGTAATTTGTCTTTTTGTGACCTCTGCTTTTCCTCGATGATTTCCCCTAAGATGCTATTGAATTTCTTAGCCGAGAAGAAAAGCATTTCTTACACTGCCTGCACTGTGCAAATGTATCTCTTTGTCTCTTTTGCAGATGTTGAGTGCCTGTTGCTGGCTGTGATGGCATATGACCGTTATGTGGCCATCTGTAAGCCACTGCTCTACACGTTCACCATGTCCAGGCAGCTTTGTAAAGGGCTGGTGGCTGGGGTATACGCTGTGGGCGTGGTAGATTCAATGATACACACGTTTTGTACACTTCGTTTGTCATTCTGCAGCTCCAACATCATCAATCATTTCTTCTGTGATATCCCCCAATTGCTGGTGCTTTCCTGCTCGGACACCCGCATCAATGAGATTGTGATGTTTGCCTTCATTGGCTGTATTGTAGTGAGCAGCTTTGTGACTGTCCTCCTCTCCTATGTCTATATCATCTCCACCATCC